TTAACCCTCTTGCTACAAGTAGGTCAAAGTGTGCATGTCACAACTTTTTAGAGCTACATTTAAAATGCAATTAAACCACTTCATTATCATTGTATACAAATAAACTTGGCATCAAAACATAGTTAATCAAAGTTTAATACAAGATTTAAGTTCTTAGTTTTATAAGGAAATATTTAAAAATCCTCAATCTTCCATAATATGAGAATTGTGACATATGTCCTCTAAGTCTTCTCTTCTCTAATTTATTTACCACTCCTCCGAGAAATACAAAATTTAACATAAATTAATTACTCATTATAATATAAATATTACTCAGGCAAAGCAATTTTTACAGCCTTCAATCTTATTTGTTTACATAGTCATAAACTAAAAAATCAGAATCACTTGCCAAGCCTACCTGTCAAATCCTCTATTTCACAAATTGCCAATAGTTCTCTTTGACATTTTATACTATAAGTTTTAATCTATCATAAGATATATCATATTACTCTGTTATCCATACAGAGAATTGTCTATTTCCTGGTTCAGTTTCAAATTTGTTCTCACACGAATCACATTGACTAGCTTAGCAAAAAAATTCTTTATAGGCTCTTATCCCATAGTTGGAAAGCCACAAAAATTATGATACTTAGAGGACATCATTTACTATTTCTTATTATTCTGTGTTCTTGAGTGCAATATTTAATTAAATCAATTTATTTAGTGTAATAGTACCATTAATATAAAAAAAGGCTTAAGTTTACCTTTTTATACTAATGATACTATTACACTAAATAATCTTTAATTGAAAAAAAAAGAAGATCCAAGTAGGTACTATATTTCTTGGTTTTCAAGTGAAGTCTTTATCTATTATTATAAAAAACAACTAAAATGTAAAAATTAGAATCTTATTGGATTAGGTAAGATAATAAAATAATAAAAATTCTTCACAAGGTGTGCTTGCGAGTATCTTGTGTGTTAGATAATTCAATACAGTAATGTGATCTACACGTTCGCCAAGTGATTTACATCCTGTGTGGCAGGATTATTAGTTTGACACGGTTCAATGGGTAATAAAACAAAATTTAAGTAGATGCATAAGTATACTGTTACAAGCTTTATGCTATTTATGATAAACAACTAATTTCCTCTAACAATTTGCAGTCATTCTAGAAAGAAAAAAAAGCTGTAATTTATATTTATTTCGTATATTTCTATAGTGGATACAAGTTTGGTCAAAATAATCTTTAAAAGGAAATACAAACTGACTCTTTAAACAAAAGATGTAACTTTTATACAAAATATACTTAAAATACATGTTTATAAAATATGTTTAACTTAGCTAGATCAAAAACTTTCCATTCTACATTTCATTCCAAACCAAGAAATATTAAAGAAAAACCAACATTATATTGAACTGTATACAAAACATAAAAGCAAATAAATTAATAATCACACACACAAAAAGGGAAATTTGAAGAACATAAAACATTTGTACCTTTCACATATAGTTATTACTTTATTACAACCGTGATTTTACTGGTGAAGACAGCCAAAGGAACGGGCTTGGAAAAATCAGTTTTAGAAAACTGATACAAGATTGTCACTCTCACTCTTTAAGTCCTCAATGAGGCAATCAAAATAGTTCACAATTCTCTTTTACCATAAGGCTTTTTTCATTTATCTTGAATTGCTGATTTGTCAAATTTTCAGTTGCTTCAAACACATGCAGAATTCACACAAAAAAACAAACAAAATGGCACATGTGATAATAATAGACTGTTGTTGTGATGGCATTAAAACAGACTTTCAATGATGTAAAATTAACAGAACTCTACTTCTAATGCTGTTAATTTAAAAATACAATAACTACATGCAGATTGCTTTCAAAAGTTTATTTCATATAGCATTAAGTAAATATTTAAAAATTCTTATAAATCAAACTGGTACTGTTAAATGAAATCTACAGAGAAAGGTAAGTCTAAAATCTATCAACAAATGGTATATTTTATTAACTTTAACCAACTGCATAGTGTGTGTAAAACTACTTTACTTGATTAACTTCGAAGTTTATTTGTTGTATTGTTTCGTTCAATTTGAGAATTTGCTGTTTTATTGTAATAACTGCAAAACAGGGTAAAATTGTGTAATACTCAACTAGTGTTGCTTACAACACAAGACCTACTTCCTCAGATGGTTATACACCACTTAAAATAATTTTAGAGTTCCTTGTGTTTGAAATAAGGTATAATTCACTAACAAATAAAAATCACAAGGAAAATGAAAAAAAAGAAGTAATTTTGGGTATTCCATACAAAAAAAAAATCAATATTTTTTTTTTATGTACTATACTAGTGGTTCCCACCAGTGGTCCACAGGAACATCTAGTGAATATAATGCTTTCTGAATAAATATTGATATTAATAAAATTCTTAGTCCTTTTAAACTTGTTTTCACAACCCTATTTACTTTCTACATTCTATGTACTTCATGTCTATAGGTCATAAACTGTAGTAGTGCTAGTCTGAAAAGTGAAAAATTGGGAACCACTTTACTGTAAGTAAAGCACTTCTGCATGAAATGTTTATTATCATTATTAATAACATTTGATCAAAGTAAGCTAACTATTATATAGATCAAAACTAAACAGAAACTTATAAATTAATGAAGTCAGTTCTGTAACAAGCTTACAAAAAGCACATAATGTCAAAAATCAATATAGAAGAAAAAGTTACAATGATTAAAACATTCAGAATCATGTTAAGATTATGCAGAATGTAGCTTGTCAAATACCAAATGTCTAACTTTCACTACATGAAAAAAATTATGTAAATATTTCTTATCAGTTATAGTAAACAGTATTTTTAAATGAATATTTTCTTCTTTTTTTTTTGTAAGCAATTAATTTCACTTCCAAGAAAGACTTTTTAGACATGTAAGAATCTTTCAGCTGTTTCAACCATATGATAATCACTATGGAACTACGGAGAATACTTTTAAGAAAAACAAAATGTTTTAACAACCATTAAATACAGGCATTACTTGATTAAGCAAGTTTGAATTTCAGTGTTTGAAGTTTTTGTTACTGTAAGCTTCCTGAAAGAATTAAAGATTGGTATATCTATTTCAGTGCAAGTTATTTAATAAATTTTCAATATAAAAGCAGGATCAAAGGGAAAAAAAGTCTCCATTTCATTGACAATTATGGATAACCAATATTTCCTATTAAGAAATTGAAATGATAAAAACTTAAATGATTAAAATATGTAGAAAACAAAGACAGCTTTCCCGAGGTTCAGTAAGTTCCAGTGGTTCTACTAATTTCACACTAACCTGCCTACAGGGTTATTTTCTTTTTGCATTTAGATATCTGCCAACAAGAAAATGAATGTTAGCAACAACAAAAAGTGCTTTTACTAATGCCACATTCACTTACAAGTGAGTATGTCAACTAAAAATCATAGTATTCTTTACTACTAACTTAGCACAAACTGGAACTTCAGAATATTAGTCATTTAACAACTGATAGCCACAACAATTCTTACCAACTATGTGTATAAAACTAGCAAAACTGAGATACATCAAGTTTTTCTACAATCAGTAAAAGAATAAACAAAGCACCAATTTTATAAAATTAAGCCTGGCTATATCCAATAGAATCTTTGGAAATTCCAGGGTTGAAAATAATGCATAATAATACTACTTTTTCACTGTGTTTAACTTTTTACATTAAGTTAAATGGTTTGTTTGTTTGTGTTATATTGTTAATCACAAAGCTACATGATAGGCTATCTGTGTTGTGCCCACCATGAGTATTGAAACTTGGTTTTTAGCATTATAAGCCTTCAGATTTATCCGCTGAACCACTGGGGGGCAATTTAAACTGTACATTACATCAATGAAATAATGAGGTATATGACAGTGACAGCAACCATATGTAGTTTATGTCACACAATACCTTGATACATTACATATTTCACTTACACAATAATTAAATTTCAACAGTATAACACTGCTCACATGGTACATCAAAATTATTTACTATATAAAAATGTTTAAATAAGGTACTTAACAAAAGTTTATGACCAATTTAACTTCTCCTACATACAAACCTTAATAAATTTGCCAGTTTGCCCCTGACGAAGAAAGGATCACCTTTCAAAAGCACTCGAGTTATTGAGTTTTGTGCCTTTGTCTTTAACTGATTTTTTAACCTAAATGTTGTATTAAGATTATGAATGAACCATAATATACTATAAGTCATGATGTGTTCTTCAAAATTTCAATCACCATAATATTATTTGTTTATTGGATTTTACGAGCTATCTGAACTAACCATTCCTAATTTTGAAGCTAGTCAACACTACTTTTGTTAGACTAAATAGTGAGATAGGACCATCAATCTTATAACATACCCATTCCCCCAAAGTGCAGAAAACAATTTTTCTTTTTGGTAGTAGTGCAGCATAAACTCTGGTACCTCGGATCCACAGCCTGGCAAACTAAGCACTAGGCCCAACTCGGTTCTCAATTATCACAATGTGGGCTTTTAATAACATACCAATTACAATCTTACTAATCGAATTTTCATTAACTTCAGCAGATGGAGTTTTAGTTAAGAATTTTTCAGCACATGCATGAACTTTTTATAACCCAACTAACAGAGATTATGAAATTAAATTACAATAACAATAATAAAGATGGATATTAAGAAGCAAGATAATGATTTTTTTTACATGGCAATAAAAGTACTTGTAAAAGTAAAACAGGGAGAACTTATAAAAATTATCAGATCAAAACAAGTCTACAATATATCTTAAGTAATAAGATAATAAATATTGCATCATATTTAATAATTCCATGTATTTCCATACTCCTAAAATACACCAATTTGAAACTTTATCTAAATAAAAAAGAATGCATGAATACAGAGAAGAAAAATACTAGTTCTACCATTTGTTAAGCATAATTATTTTTTTATACCCACAGCACTATTTGTATGAATAAAAACTTGCACTCACTTATTTTGAAGCTTTTCTCTATGATTCGGGTATCCAGAGCATGATGGTACTGATATACAGATTTTCCCTGCAATTCCTCTTCTTTGTATTCAAGCAAATCTTCAATTCTAAATATTATAATGCAAAAAAATATTTTTAAAAATCTACTTATGCATATAAATGTAAACAAACAAAACTGGTATGAGGGATTTAAGCCTGGCTTATATAGATTCAAATAAATTTAAAGTACTGCATAAAATTACACAAACATAGCGAGAGAAGATAATTGGAAAATAAAACTAATTAAAATACAACATATTTCATTTTCATGTTAATGTTTTCCTGGTGAGTAGTGAGTAATTAATTTTCATGATAGCTTATCACATTCCTTCAAAGTTCACAGCCTGCACACACTTTGGAGGTGTTGAATTATGTTTGTTATCATGTGTAGGCAACAGGCACATTTGAAAGTCAAAATCTAGTAACATCCCTTCTGGCATTAAATTTAAATTAGATTTAAATCAATGCAGTTTACCTATAAATTAAATGAGATAAACATATGCAAAAGATACAAAACTTAACAGCAATGCTGTAATCTGGGAAAATCATACTTGAATGTAAGCTGCACCTGAATTTGACAATGATGTTTTGAGCATGAAATAATGAGTTATAACAATGTAACACATGAGCAATAAAATAATATAATTTTATCTAGATGATGCATATAAAACATTTAGTAATGATGTTAACTAACTGCCAACTAACAACAATATCCTATATGATCAATTTTACCAATATCAGATAACAACTAGCAAATATCCCAAATTAGTTTGTGCAAATAATATATTACCATATTAAAAAAAACATAAAAAGTATGCTGATGTTCATTAAACTTTGTTACGATGCACAAAACCGTCCAATGTGTTAAAAATTATTAATTCTAGGTTTCTAGAACCACTATTCATATTACTAATAAATCTCATGTGACAGCATCTAGTCATGGCAGTTTATGTTAACACTGGATGATTCATACCTCAAATTAGTTGCCAGCAACCATATAAATTAACTACTTTCAGTGAAAGGTAATCTTCTTGTCAGCATGCCACTCCTTTAGATTAGAATCAGTAACTTTGTGCTAGGTTATTCTGTACAACCTTGCAACTACATTGCAACCATGAAACTATAAAGACTATAACTTTTAATGTAATAAATGTATCTTCACAAAATTTGGCAAATATTTTAGTAAACATTCCAAGTCTTTTATACACAAAATATCAGATTTTTTAATCAAGTATTTTTACTAAAGATTTGTCTGCGAATTTATGAAATCATAGTCTAAACTCTCTTTGCAAACTAGAAGATAAAGTCTTGAAAATTATTAGTCAAGTGACTAAAGTTACATTTCAATCAAACTTGTTTCTTAGTTCATGATTCTTACCTTTCATCAACATAGGTAAACTTCATATCCAGTGAATGTCGGCTTAAAAAAGTCTGTTTGTCCAGAGGAATTTCAATGTTAGAAGGGTGTGGAATGGGTTCACCAATTGATACAAAAAAGCTTACTGGGGAGTGGCCAGTCTTATAGGACTGTTTCTCCATTTTTACAAGAGGAATATCATTCATTATGTATCCATTACAATGAATCACCTGCAAGTATATATCATGAAATAAATAAATAAATATCACATATATATGATACAAAGAGCTTGATTAATACAATTAGAAAAAAAAATTTCTATGAAAAAAGCAATTTAATATTTCTAATACAATATATTGTTGACAAATAGCAAGTAATTCTACCTTAGTAATAATGAAGAATATTAAAGCAAGTCAGAAGTATGTAATATAAAAAAAAGTTTTACAAATGCATACATAGCCAAAAAGTGCACTGACTGGTCTAATAAATTCCTGATATTTTTACATCTCTTTCTGTTGATATTTTAAATTATAAATGCCTACTCTATATTACACACACAATTAATTATGAGTCTTGGGTATGAATAACGTCTTACAGATTCACACTTGAAATTTTGATGAACAATATTTACTGATAAACCCTAATACAATAACAGACAGTTTTCACAATTTATGGTTTATTTGTAAACAACACCATACACGAAAAGGTTTCCAGTTTCCTCAAAATTCTAATGATAATGATTCAGGGTTGCTAAAATTCATCAATGACTTTTTTAAAGGTTACTTCTAATTCAGCAAAAACAATTTTCAAATTACAGAAAAAAAAATTGAAATAAATTACACTAATCTTATGATTTGATATTTTCATAGGGTTATTCTATGCTTTACAGAGGAAAATGTAAACAAAGTTTTTCTATAAGGCTTAACATAGTATTCCAGCTCCTAAACCTCTAACTGGAGTAGCTTATTTTTCTTAGACTTCTATTTCAACTCATTCCATTTCTTGAATCAACTGACAACTGTATTGCTTATCTTTTCCTACAATTAAAAAAAAAAAGACTTCACTGGTTCAATAAAAGAATTTATGACAATACGCACATTGACTTCACTGGTTCAATAAAAGAATTTATGACAATACACACATTGACTGGTCAAACTAATGGTAGTATAAGGTTATAAAATAAATAAACTGTAAATATTTTATAATAAGAGTTTATGATTTATCCTTATATATCTGTAATAGTCCATAAAACTCTTTATACCTTGTAAGAGGCAGACTTAACATTGACATTTCGTCCCTTGTTGGTCAATGTACATTTCATTCGTAGGAAAAAAGATCGAGGGAGAGGCAGCCCTGTATTCTCATCACCTTTGAAAGACAGCATTTCTTTTATTTCTTCATGATCACAAGGATGGCTGAAGTCATAAATACTATGTCCCATGAAGTCAATCTATGAAAAAAACAACAGCAGATTGGCAGTAAATTTCTTTTATTTTATATTCTGGCACTGGGCCAAAGTTTTTGTTACTTGTTATGTTAAATTACAAAAAAAGCTATGTTTCCAAAAATACTCATTACTAATCCACTAAAAAAGAATTTTTTTATTTTTATATCATGAAAATGAAATAACCTAAAATAATTACACAAAAGAAGATTGTGCTAATTCTTCATTAACCATGTATTCTTTACTTAAATAAACTAACAGAGAGAGCTGCTGAAATAATGCAATTCACAGACACATCTGCTCTTCCAGGGTTAGGGATTTTTTTTTAAGTAAAAAAGATCAAATAACCGAGGATTTCTTTTGTTGATTTAGGTAAGTTATTTAAAACTGATATGAAGTATACGGACAATTTAAATGCAATTTTGAAGTGAAAGGAAATTATTTTAAAGAATTTTATTTCAGTTAAAATTAGAAAATTTTTTTACCATTATTTAAAGAAAGATTTAGTTTGTATTCATGTTTTATTGGCTTTTTTATTGCAATGTTTATAAATAAAGACTAATGTGGTAGCCTTCTCTATCCCTAGTCTATTACCACTTTTAAATAGATCATTCCAAATGATGAAAATACTCTGTCTGTCTGTTGTCAATATTTATCCACAAGATTGTTGGTTGAAATTATGTAGGATTTTGTTAAGGATTGTCCACCATACAAGATTGAATTGCAGTAGCATTTTCCAAAAACATGAATTCCAGAAAAGGTCAAAATTTTGCCTCGTATTTTTAAAGTTGTTGCAACTGCATTTCTTACAATTGGATATTGTAACAATTTGGTGAAACCAACTATAACATTGGCAAAAGGCTTGAAAATGGTTTTAATATAACATACTCAATCTTTGCATATTTAAATATGTATATTACTCACACCAACACACTAGTTATAGTTACTAATCTTTACTGTGAACTGTGTTTTAATGTGCTCAAACATCAGTAATTTTACTAAAAATGGGTAGTATATTTAGAATATCTTTGTTATAAAGAAAAAAAATTATTCGGAATGTATGCTTTTCTAATCTTAGCACCCAGTGTTAAAAAATGTTAAACACTTGAAGAGTAAGTGACCTTGCATTTCCATAAATAAAACAACCTTTTGTACACTGTATGTATGTTTTGTCATAAAAATGATTGAACTAAACAGGATAACTGTTAGCAACAGTCTTGAAACTACTGTAATTTATTTAATGTTTTTATGTGGCAGGTTGCACAGAAAATCAACAGTTACTACTGAATCCTTGGTCAAACTCTCAGTAAGATATTTCTGTATGCATACATGACAAAATGTTGTACAAAGTTAAGCAAGCAATTTTAAAGCTTTTCAGCCAGATGTAAAAATACACAAGTTTTGAGAAAAAAAAAATTCTGTTAAAAAATATTCAGCCAGTCTAAGCTTATAAATATGCAGACTAATATTCTTTATAATTGCAATTACACTAATACCCAGACTTAGCTTGATACACAATAATATGCAGTTGTTAGAAAACTTCCATGTAGTATCAAGTTCCATGCAGTATTTGGATGTTGCAGTAGATCTACTATTTGCTGACTTTAAAAACTTCTTTACTTTTACATAATTTGAAAGGGTAAATCATTCTTGCAACCTTTGTTTAATTTTCTTTACAAGTTTCAAATAGAATTCTTCCAAATACACCAGTTGATTTCAAAGAAGGTTTTCGTTTAAACCATTCTAACTCAAGTTCAAATTTGCTTTATACTTGTAAAATGACACACCTTAAATGTTTTAAAAAAACTAAAACTTTCAACCACAGAAACAAAGAAAATCCTCCTCAGCATAGTGAAAGGCTCTAATTTCACAAATTGTTTTATCAGGACATGTAAAACGTATTTTTAAACACTATAATACAGAAAAAAATTAAAACTTTTTTTTTCGATTTAAGTATATTACTTATTAAGAATTATATGTGTGTGTGTGTGTTTTTCAAGGTTAGAAAAAATATCAGTATTTGAAATGTCATACACTTGCAAATCAAATTTCTATAAAAATGCTGTAAAAAAGTATAAATTTCATACTTAAATTTTAAATGTCACTTAGTTCAGTGTTTACTGAAGACTTCCTCTATGGGAAGATAACTCTTGTATTAAGTCTATTGGAAATGAATCTTTATAAACACTACAGAAACACTTTTAACATAAGTTCTGATCAAATATTATTATAAATACCACTTTCTACCTAAAGCTCATTTTCAAAGGAGTAAAATTATTTATGTATTAATCCATAAAGTCTCATACCTGAGAGAGTCCTAGATACTGGTGGACATTTTCTGATAGATAAACAATATCTCCTTCTTCTGACAGAACTAATAAGAATCCTTCTAGAGCTTTCAAAAAAGCAGAGTCCCATTTACTGGAGCTTGATGGTAAGCTTTTGAGAATTTCTAATGAAAAACACCATCATAGGTAAAGATTACTTTAACTCTATAGCAACTAAAAGTAATTAAAACAAACACATTAACACAGAAACACTTTGAAATTACTAGAGTAGCCATGAAGATGTTTTATAGTTTGATTTCAGTATAGTATATTTAGAAATAACCTTCACATTGAGTATTGTATGTCCAGATATAACCAAACATTACTTTCAATGAAGTACATGTAGCTAAAAACACATTTTCAGTACAGTACATCTGGTTGAAAACAAACATTTTAACTATAAAATCAAAAGTAAATCATACAGTACTTACAACTGTTTTGGTTATTGCTATATCCAGAAAATAATTTGAAGCACTAAAATTGTCTTTTGACTATAATCTAGTAATAAAGCTTTCAAATACAACTTTTTGTTCATTGTTTCATCATTTACAGAAAAATCTTCATTTGAAAATGAGTTTTTTTCTTTCTGTTTGTGTCAAGTTTTTGATAAAAATACATTGCTTTTTTTTCATAAAGATTTACCAGTAGAAGACTTATTTTCTTTGCTAAACTAGTCAATATATGCTGGTGGAATGTTCAAATTCATGTTTACCCTAGCCTCGGTTGCAAGTGCAGGGTTGGAAGGTGTAATGTTTGCATGAAACACAAACCCTATGGATGCACTCATGATTGTGTCCTCATCGAAGTTAAAAAATTAAAAGGAAAATCATCCAAATAAGTTAGAATTCAATCAACAGAGGTCAAGACAACTTAAACAGAAGGAAAAATAAAAATAAGATACTTTATTTTTTCACTATAACCACTTTCATTGTTTCAGATCATTCAGTGATTGACAGTCTTAAGATAAGATTGATCAGACTTCAAGAAATAACTTAATGATGACATAAACATGTTGAAAACCATTCTTATGGTACAAATCAAGATCAAAATGAAACACCCTTGAGAAAAAGTATCCTTTGTTTGGGAAGACTTTTTATCAAAATGAAAACAGTATATTGGGAATTTCACTGCATTTTTTTCTAAGCAATAGATCAAACACTAAACTCACAAAAAAGAAACATATGAGAAAATGGTCTGGTGAATCTTCTCTTGTTCAAAGTTGTCACCAAACCTTGACAACTACTATGCAAGCAAGGGTTAAAATGTCATATCTATCTGGAAACAAGTTAATTTCAGCATAGCACACCTAGAAACAAAAACACATTTTTAGTTAAAAGTACAGAGAGCTATAACCCCAAATTTTTTTTAGCAAAGTACACCTAGCTCAAAAGACATTTCAAAATGTAATATAATAGTACAAATATCCATTAGTTTCAATATAGTGTATGTTGTTGCAATTTCAGGTTATTACATATACAGTACCTAACAACACATTAATTGCAGTACAGAGTATCCAGATAGAAACATACATTTATTTCAGTACAGTACATATAGATCTAAACAAAAACACCTTAGGTGTGAATAAAAGGTGCAGGTAAAAAAGGACTGAGTATGCAATTTAACATGTTGGCTGTCATGTGCCCCACTGATGAGTCATAGACAGTTATGTTTCAAAGCCAAATTTCTCTTGTGGTATACGAGTCTGGGACACTGTGACTGCTCTTCGGCACTTTTTGAATGTTTAATTTTATTTATACTTAATTTATTATGTGGCAGCCAAACTTGTAGCTACACTTATAGCATTGATAAGATTTTTACAGCAAATATTCATTCATTAGTTAACCACGTCATGTTTTTTCGTTAAACTTGGGGCATGATGGTGGATAAAACAAAATATGCAGTCTAGCTAACTAATGAATGAATGTTTGCTGTAAAATTCTTATCAATGCTATAAGTATAGCTACCAGTTTGGCCACCAATTCTGATTTCATTCCTTTAAGTCAAATGCTCAATCCTTTTTTGGCTGCACCTTTTTTTCACACCTAAGGTGTTTTTGATTAGATATCATGACTTTTTGTCAATACACACAATTACAGCAAGTAAAAAAGTGACACTCAATAGTAACCAACATTAGCTTTAGGATTCCAACACTATTATTTGGAACAAACTTATACTTTACAGAACCAACCAGATTCTTTAAACTATATAGTGGTAGTTTTTCCTCTCTAAAACAGTGTTAATAACTTCCTTTATTGTAAAGCCATGGGAACAAGACTTACAGTTCTTGACATCATCCACATGCACTTGGTACAGCCGTATTGAGCACCATTATTTACATTAATTGCCTTTTTAAAAGAATCTACTTCAAGGAACCAACACATCCAGATAGCACTCACCACCATTCAAGACAAGTCAACCCAAATAGGTACTCCAAGAAGAAGGAAAGCAACCCAAACCCTGCCACCACCAGATAACCAAGACTGACCAGTTACCACCATTGACCAATCTCAGCAAACCAACAATCTGCACAAACTTCAACCTTCCTCTCCTGCCAGACCAACCAGCTGCACACTCCTTAAATTCATCCAATCACAAGACAAATATCACCAAGGGCAATAGAGTGGGTATAAAAAACTGGAATAAGTGAGAAAAAATCAGACCCATGCTTAGATGAGCAAAGAAGAAACCCTGGCAGTTGAGTAATAGTTACGTGTCAGCAGAAGTACGCATGTTTTGGAAACAAGATAGTTCATATTTTTAAGTGTTTACAGCCAAAATTATGCATATGGTGAAAACAACCAACTACACCAATCTAGCTGTATATATGTTAACACATTAGTGTTTTGTACACACTCGATCCATAGATCTTACTCATAAACATTACATTTATGGTTATTTTGAAAGAAAACCTGTCCTTACCTGCATTTCTTTAATTAACAAGTTTACACTTGATGAAGTAAAATGGCTTTGTGACTACTAACAAGTTAAGTCTACTTAGGACCCAGCAAGTTATGAAAAGCTCAACTTTAACTTAGTTTAATTTTTTAATCAAGAGTGCAAAAGTTGTTAAAATAGCTTTCTGATAATGTTTAAAATTACAACAAAAAGGTCTTCATTAATGAAGAAACATTACACAATCACTTCCACATACATTCATGATGACATTTATATATTTAATGGGAATTCACACTTGTTTTAAAAAAAGTCATATGCAAGTCATATGCCAAACTTGTTTTATTCCTTTTAAAACAAAAAAAATAAAAAATAACTATTATTCACATTCTACAAGCAAGCAACTTTTATCAAGTTAGTGCACACACAGATATATATATATATATATATATATATATATATATA